CAACCTAAAATGACTAATTATAGTTGTTATAACCATAAAATAGTTGAAATTACCATAAAAATGATTCAAGTGACTATAATTTTTATGGTAATTTCAACTATTTTATGGTTATAACAACTATAATTATAGTCATTTTAGGTTGCCAATTATATACATTTGTTGCTGGAACTATATATACTCGTATAGTTACTGTTATTATTATTATAGCAGTAATAATCATAATTATAATAATATATAATTATAGTTACAAATACCAAACATTTTTCTGTGTAGAAGAAAATAAAAAGTGAGTCAAACCAAGATTAAAATTAAACTACATTAGTAAAAGTAAATATCATTGGGCCTTTTACAAACGCAAAATTTAGAAACTAGACGTGGAAAAATTGATGAGAGATTGAATTTACGAAATTTCAATTGAAGATAATTGTTTCTTAACTATCTTCCTGCCGAGTGTTTTAACAGAAAACTCATGAAATCGGATCAGATATTTAAATAATTTATTTTTCTTATTTTTAATAACACCTGGAACAAAATATATCATATTCCATTTTTTATTCTTCCTGAAATTGTGATTTTTGCAAGAACACAAAATTTGAAAATTTAGAAAGATCAGAAAATTATATGGAATGATTGATGGAAAGTGAAATTTATAGAAACATCGGACTATGTTCTCTTCCAAATGAAAGTAAACGTTTTTTTGGCTACCTTTCCTTGCAGATGTTTCAGTAGAAAACATCATGAAATCAGATATATAATTTTTTTTACATCTGGAGAGTAAGATACATTCGATTTTTTATCTTCTTATTTCTGGAATTGTGACTTTTATAAGTACACAAAATTTGGAAATTAGAATTAAAGAGAGAGTGCACCAGATGATATTTTATAAGAGATTAAATCTACGGGAGCACCGAGCTTTGTTCTCTTCCAAACGAAGGTAGATGTTTCTTGGCTACCTTCTCCTGCGAATGTTTTAGTAGAAAGTTCATCATGAAGGCGTATCGATATTTAAGTAACTTCTTTGCTTTACTTTTAATAATATCTGGAATAAAATATATTTGTTGTTATAATTTTTTTTTCTTTCCTGAAATTGTGACTTTTGCAAGTGCGCAAGATTTAGAAATTTAGAAAGTGTAGACTCTACAGACATGGTGATACTTATGAAATTAAATCTGCGGAAGTACGTCGGACTT